GGGAAAGTTGCATGTGCTCTGTCCCAGATAACATGACTGGCCAGGAAGACAAAGAGAGCTTAGAGTAGCATTTGCCAACACTCCAAGTGCTTCCTATTGTGTTTCCCTTTGGGATCTACTTTCTCCATAGCCTGATCCACCCCATCTTCAAACTCAGCATTGCTTTTGCTAACTGCTACTCCCATTTCAACGTACATTGTAGAACTGGACAAACCCCATTCTTTATAGTAAATGGCATGGACTTTGTACCAATTCCTGAGTGGGAGCAAGGGGAACATAGGGCAAACTTGCAATACTTGGTTCATTGGAAAGGGTATCCCTTGTCGGAGGATACATGGGTTGTCTATTTGGAGGTGCACGCCCCTCCGCTATGCCAACAGTTCCATCTAAGGCATCCTGCCAAGGAAGGGGGCGGGGAGACAATGCATAGGGTTTCATCTGTTCATTCTCTTTTTCTAGGTGGATCTCTGATAGAGGGGGCAGCCTCTCGGGCTCCGTTAGGGATGACAGATGATCTGAGCCATCAGCTGCAGCGTTGGAGAATGATTACGTGTGAAGGGATCCTCAGTCATCAGTAACTTGAAGGGAAACTCCTATCTGTGTTTGATGGATTGTTGGATGTTAATTAGATGATTCTGCCAAAAGCCGAACTGAAAGAGATAACAGCCGGTGCAGCTGCTGAATCAACTGGGCTGAAGAAACGGGCGATGGGGGGGGGAGTTTAACTATTTAATTTACTCACAATGAGATAGGAAGCATGAGCGATGGATAGGTGATAGGGAAGGAAATAGTGGGCTTACTAGGTAAACTGGATGATGGGAATAAGGGGTGATTAAGGGAGTAATTAGGGACGTGGATAGGAGATAGAAGCATTTAGGTGGGTGTGTTTATACCTTTAAATAACACTGTAAGGCAGAAGCTTCCAGTGCTAACCTAGACCAGCTGGGATACCATTCTTGTCAGATGTAAAATTTGTTGCTTGACAATAAAACCCTTGAAACCTGCTTTCTGCTCTGCATGGTGATTTGTGGTTTGGGAGCCAATCTGCAAGTTTTCAAAGACTGGCTGAGAATTTGGTCCTGTAATGTTGCTGGCCAGAGTGGGGAATGAAATTGATGTTGAATCTGACGCTATACTGGGGAATGATACAATATGATGCAAACGTCAGGGTCAGTCAGGAGATGGATAAACTTGCATTCTCTCATCACATTACACAAACATCATTGTAACAAAAACAAGTTTTAGCATAATTTTCTTACCTTTATAAATTAAGGTGGTGACACAAGTTCCTTCAGGACTAATAACATACTTTTCTCCAGGGATGTGCTGGGTATATTTGGTGGCTTTGAAAGATATGTTTTTATTATTTTTATTATATCATACCAGAATTTCTTGGGCTTCTTAAGAAAAAGGAGGGAAACCCTTTATGTTGGGAAATGCATATGTTTAATATGCACAATTCATCATTCCCAACATAGTGTTCAGCTTAATGGTACACATATTATTTGCTTCATGAAGAAATTAATCTTTTCTGGGTTTGTACAATGTACCAACTGATAACCAAATGACCAAATGGTTTCCAGAGATATGCAAGGTGGATAACAGTTCTCTCAACAAGATCCCCTATGTCATGGTAGTCATAGGATTCATCCTTTGTCCATAACATCTTATCCAGATGTCCATTTATCTAGAACTGACTTGTATGGTCAGTGGAAGCCTCAGAACCAGGAAGAGAAATGGAGTTTCTTGATTCAACTGTTGTTTATTGTTAGTTTGTTTGCCCGGGTTGGTAGTTCTTTGATAGTTCCTTGGTAATTCAAGGAACTACCAATTCAGACAAAGAACACTTTCACCAACACTGACAGGAAAAGCCACTAGTATATAAACAGAGATCAAACACAGCTCCCTTTAAATATTTATGATATTACCTAGTTAAGTACTGAAATGTCTGCAAGAAAATAACCAGCTTGGGGAAGACTTCACAGTTCAGCCTTGGGCTGTAAATATTCTCTTTTATCTGTTTTCTCGGCGCTTACATTGGGCGATCCATCCTAACTGCAACTATTAAATTCATTATTCCATCCATTTTTTCTCCCATGTATAAAGCATAAAGAAATGCATGGAAGGCTCTGTTTTATCACTAAAAAAGAAGCCTGGTGGCTCATGAAGTTAGGATGCTGGGCTGATGATTTGAGAATTGCTTGCTGCCATGGGATGGGGTAAGCTCCTGTCACATCCTCCAGCTCCTGCCTACCTAGCAGCTCAAAAATGATTGCAAGTAGATAAATGGATACCACTTCAGTGGGCAACTTAATGGGGACATGAAAAGAGCCTCCAACTGGGCATTCCCTGGACAACAGTGATGTCATCATTCAATCCTTTCAATCCAGAAGCACTTTGGTGCTTCCAACATGACTGTAGTATCACTAAACAATATACTTCTTGCTAGCCTAAATCAAATGTATTTTGCTGCAGCACACCAAAGAGATGATATATGGTAAATATAATAAATATGTTTCACATTAAGACACCAACTTGCAATTGCAAGATCTCCAAAGCAGACTTTTTTTAGAACCTACAACTCTGCACAAGTTGATTTCTGCTATATGATTCAGAGGTGTGAAGACAAGTAGTTGAATAATGAGCATAACAGTATGGGGAATGAATATCCCATATGTCAAACTAGTTATTTGTACCAGAACCCCATCCTGAAAGAAGTTAATGTATTAATTCAACAGTAGCATCGACAAAAACAATCTTCAAAGCAGCATTAATAGGACTTTTCAGACGTATCAAGAAATAAACTGTGATACAGCTGAATTCCAAAACTAGTAAGTATGGCAAACAAATACCCTGGATGGTGAGATTATTTTAGGATACTAAGAGATGATATCGTTAAATTTCTGATGGGGAAAATCTGGGATGCATATACTAAGTGCAATGGCGCTTAATATTCCAATACAGAATCCTAATAAATAAATTATAATAGCCTGGGCTGGGCATTGAAAAAGAAAATAAAAAATCTGATTCAGAGAAGAACTGCCTCCATTATTCTGATCTTCAAAATATCCTTTCAGACAATATCCCAATCCCCCTGAAGCCCCTCTTTTCTTAAAGCTAGACCAGGTAACAACAAAAGTGGGAGGAGAAATCAGAAAAAATATATCTTCCTGTTCCAAAGAACCCTGAAGGGATTAAGCTCTTTGAGGGCTACTGCAACTGCAGCTATAACTTCTGAAAGTCAGTGGGATCTTCTAAGCATAATACTGTCTGCCAACAAGGTACCACCAAGTTCTATACACAATGTTTTTGGCCCAGTGAATGCTAAGAACATTTTTAATACAACCAATTGATCGATCAATCAATCATAAAGATGATGAAGAAGTGATTTCAGTGGAAATCAGCAGGCGCCTAGCATTTATTTTCCAACTTAAAAAACTGGCTGAGATTACAGCCAGGAGTCTATTTGATAACATATATACTTTTGTACTCTCAGCAGCAAGTTGTATGTCAGCAGCATTGAAATAAGCCCAATTAAGAGTGTGACTGCAATTCTCAGGTGCGCTATGATTTATTTGCAAAAATATCCAGCTCTGAGTTTTAACACATTTAAAAGGTCCAGGTTGGGGAAGTTTGCCCTACAACTTGTTCTGGAAGCAACATAATTAATCCAGCAAGGCTTGGAGGAAGAGAAACTTTTTCAGCGGATCTATATTTAAAAAGGTGACTTGGATTTTTCTTCAAATTGCCGTGGCAATAAGACTTTTATAAGGGACTGTCTGAAAAGTTTGTAGCCATATGCTTCAAATAAAGCCCCAGATCTTTACCACATATAATGCAATTGCAGACAGATTGTGTAAAACAAAGCACATTGTGGTTAATGTTTATATACTTTGGTTATATATTTAAACTTTTTCAGATTTATTATGTTATTATTGTAGAAATCCAGCCTGCCATATTACAACCATACAATAATATGACTTCTGATGTAGGTGCTTCTATGGACCTACAGCTGATAGTGGGTTTATACAGAATACAGAATAACAAAGTTAGAAGGGGTCTTGGAGGCCTCCCATTAGTTAATTGTTCTCACTGTTAGGAAATTTCTCACTAGGTTTCCTATAGTAATAGTTCCTCTTCCTCTGTCTTTCTTCTTATAAACTATGCAAGTTTACAGTCTTCTGTAATGTATTTCTGCTTTAAAGTAGAAGATTTCCAGTCAGGTCCTTTGTTGATGCTTCCCAAAATTAATCACTCTTGAAGACAGCTGAATAAGAAAACCTAGAGAAATCCTAAATATGGAAATCCTCCTTGTTTAATGTCGTGGGTTCCTTCTGAATCACACTGGTGCTGATAGAAACAGTGCAATTATAATGCAAATAAATTGAACTGATATTTTAAACCAGTGGTTTGAACTAATCCTATTAGTTTGTATAAAGCAGCCATTCATGTAAAGGTAACCACTCAGTTACTTTGTTCTCAGGGAATTCTATACCTTGAATCAGACAGCATGACAGGACATGTCAGAGTACTGCTTGAATTAGTCATGTTTTGGGTTTGGGGGTGTTAAAATAAAATGGGAGAGATAAAAGGCTCAATCACCTTATGTAAAGCAGACTTTTTTCCCTTCCCTTTGCCATTTAATTAGGGCATAAATGATATTTAAAAAAATTGGAGGATTGTTAACCCAACTTGACTTGTAATGTATTTTTTGTCTCCCTTCCACACTACACTTAACAGTGCTCATAAAAAAATATTGTATTTTTGACAGGATGTCATTTTAAATATTCTTGGCTCTAGAAAAACAGGAGAAAACATGTGCATAAAGCTATGGTTCAAACTTGAATTTAGTACTAGTGTAATTATCTCCATCTTTAAGGAATGCATCTAATTATACTAGGCTTAGTTATTTTAAAAATGTGTAGAAAGTTGAGTTAGGAAATGGAAAGATTTGGAATAATCTTATACCGTATACCATATTGCACTATAACTTTTATTTAGTGAAGTTTTTTATTTTTTATTTATTTCTAATCCTCCTTTTGATTTTGCAAAGTGCCCAAGGTGGCTTACAAAAGAAAGAAGAAAAGAAGAAAAATCACCATAAATAGGTCACTATATTCCCAATCAGAAAAAATACAGCATTATAATAAATCAGGTCTTATTTGCAACAGTCTATAAATCTGATAGATTAAGGGAATATTCAGATGGTGATGAAAACACGTAGCTCTCAGACAGATTTCTCTGGGGAAAAAGCTTCCAACAACAGTTTCTGTCCCATGTACCCATCATCCTTGGCTCTTAGGACGCAGACAAACTCTAATTTTAGAAGGAGGGAGTTGTTTCAACACAAACCATAATCTATGCCTAAAAACTCCTGCTGATTTTAGCTATTCCCAGTGACCCTTTTAAGTCTTTTACATTTCTACGTGCAAGTCCCAATAAAACTAAAATTGACTTCCTTTCAGAAATGATGAAATACAGCCTTTTTGGTGGGTGGGGAATGCCTCTTCAAAATGCTCCCTTCTGGAAATTCTCCTGGATATCTTTCTCTTTCTATTGTGCTCCAAGCTTTAAAGATGCTGCTTTAAGGGTGAACATTTATGCTAAAATGGAACTCTTATACCCAAAGAGATATATGTTAATGGAAGATCCCCTAAGCATCCCTGGGTACTAATTATCTTGGCCCACATGAATGAGTTCCTTCTACAATCAAAACTATAAGGACATTGCACTTTTTATCATGTTATCATGTAAGAAAGATAGGAACTCTCAAGATTCTGAGTAACTGTTTTTGTTGTGTCCCAAAGGTGCTGTTCAAAAGGCAAATGGACTTTATTTGTTTTGGTTTTTTCCTTTAAAATGTTTTGTTTCTCATCCAAGAAGCTTCTTCAGATCTGGCCAAAATTGAAGAAACTTTGTGGATAAGAAGATAATGTTTTCAAGGGAGGAAAAAATCAAGAACATCTAGTTCTCTTCTGAACAGCATCTTTGGCACAACCATGACCTGGATGATTGAAAATCTCCATAGACCTGTCCTGTTTGTGAATGTGTCTAACCACAACCTGAACTATAACTTGAAATAGGAAAACTGGGAGAGTACAAAGGAAACAGAATAAAACAAGCGGAAATGCATGCACATCTGTTGCTGGAGGGAGCATCTTCAGACATTTCAGCTCTCTATAAATTTTCATTGCAGTAGTCTTTATTTTCACAGCACTGATGTTCAAACCGAATGCCTTTCTCTGGGAATTCATCAAAACTGCCACATTTTGCCGCTGACCTGAGCTTGCAGGACAGGATTTTTTGTTGAAGCTCTCCATCTAAAATGAAGGTAGGGAGAAGGAAGAAACAAAATGAGTAATTGCGCTCCATTCTAGTAACAAGCCAAAGAGAGCAAAAGAAAAAGCAAATCTTTTATATGTGGAAATTACATTAAAAGCCCAGATTGATAAGAATTTCCATATACTAATCTCTGGCAGGTGACACCATCCCACTGCACTTCATTGAACTGAAAAGGCTAAGCAGGACTGGATTTATTTTATTTTATTTATTAAATTTATATGCCACTCATCTCACTGATAATGCAATTTATAAGAGATTTTAGGATTGGATGACACATCAACAGGAAATCCTTGGGTTGTTGATTATAATAGGAAGTACAAATAAATCTGAAAGAAGACAGGCTAAATTACTTACATATTTATAAAATCAGAAAATTCTGAAGTTGGAAGGAACTACAAGGATTATCTAATCTAGCCTTGAATTATTGCTAAGAAATTGGATTTGGGCAATATGAAAAAGGATGCTTCATGGAAATATGAAGTGAAAAATTAGCATTGAAAAGGCATTGAAAAATTGTTCCATTGATGACTGATACAAAAAAAATAAGGATGAGAAGAGAAGGATGTTGTATAATGCACATGAAAAGAAATAGATCATTGTAATGAAAGACATAAAAATAGATTTAAATAGATAAAATGCAAAGAGATTTTGATGGAAATAAAAAAAATATTCTGGAAATAGGTAAAGAAGGCAAAAAAGAAACCCTCCGGTAGGGTGAATGGTATTAAAAATAAAAAATGTTGAAATTGTTGGGATGAAACTGAAATGAGGGAATGTATGAAAAAATGTTACAAATTTGTGTAGGAATGACAGTGACATGCTGGTGCACTGTGATTGAAGTAAATGTTATAAATGTTAGGGTCCAAAAATGATGAAAATTGAGTTACCAGTGCTATGATAATGTTGAAATTCTGCTTATGGAGTGGTAGTATGACTGGTTTAATATGTATGGGAAGACTGGATCTGTGCCTAACAATTAAAAGAAGTTGTTACTGTTCCTCTATACATGGGGAAAAGTGCAAAAGTGGTTAACAACAATACAGGATCATTAGTATGTTAGTGTCAGATGGTTTTGATAGAATTCTGATCAAAGGTTATGAGAGGTGACAATCAATAATATTTAGGAAGTTCAGTGCAAGTTTATGCAAGCAAGGGGAATTCTTAAAGAAAAGTGAGAAAGTGAGGAGGACATTTTATTGTACAGCTATTGACTGAGACAAAATATACTGAACAGTATAATAAAGTGGAGGCTTTAATTATTTGTACAAATATGGAGTAGAAGCGTGGTTGCTGAATTCAACTAGGATAGTGCATAATGAAGTAAGCCATGCATAAGAATTAATCTGTCATGCCCCTGTTAGAATCTGACTCTGAGGGAGAGGAGGAACAACCGACAGGGAGTGGGAGTGTGGCTCTGGAGGTTGTGGAGGAAACTGGGGAAAAGCACAGGCCGGCTGGGCATTCAGAGGAAGACCCAAGCCCATCTCCTCTTCATCCTAGGGCACGCAGAGAGGAGTGGATAAGGGAGAAATGTGAATGGCATGGTCTACGGGGAAGAAAGGGCCCTGATCCCCTTCATGGGCTACAGCTGTGGGGACTGTTTAAAAGGACAAACTGCACATGGTCCAGTGCTGGAAGCAAAGCATGAAATAATTCTAGTCTTTCAGTTCTTATCTGAGTTCTGGTGTCCTTCCCAGTGTGTGTATTTCGATATCTGTGGACGCCTTCAAGCCCTTATCTTGCCTTGTCTCATTAATTGCTTCAGTGTGGTTTGTGTTGTTTTTTTCTATTTATAGTTTATATGTATTTTGAGTTTGAATGGAAGTTCTTCCTTTTTGCAACTGTTTGTGGGGGAGTTTTTTTCTCCAGTTAATGATAATTGGACCTTTGAAGCCAAGTTGAAGGAATTAAAGGTACTTTACCTGTTTTTGTGACTTTGTTGCTCTTGTATCCCACCTGGGTCATCACATAATCCATCTCTCTCTCTCTCTCTCTCTCTCTCTCTCTATCTATCTATCTATCTATCTATCTATCTATCTATCTATCTATCTATCTATCTATCTATTAGTTTCTGGACTACCCATCTCCCTTAAGGAGAACATTAGCAGAAATTGTAATATTGATATATGAGGTTCAGGTGATTGGTTGGTTGGATGGTTAGTTGATTACATTTGTATCCCGTTACAATCAGCCAACTCTTAGCAGTTAATACAATACTGTATATCTTGGTATTTAACATTGGAATATATTGTGATTGTTTAAAGTATTTATAGATAGAAGCATAAATAATGGTTGTTGAGATATAAGTTTGTATTTTACTTGGAGACATAAATATATATGTACTTTGTATACAGTGATGCCATATTTTGGTCTGAGAATTCAAACAGTTTGTATCAAATAATTAGGTAAATTGCATGATGTGAAAGTGATACGGGCATGAAAATTAATTCATCAAATATCAGGGTAATGGTGTTTGAAAGGAAAATGAAGTAAGTGATTGCAAGGTATGCATAAATGATGAACAAGTAAACAAATTAGTGTTCCTTGGTGGTATGGCTTACTAACCACTGTATGCTTCTGTCTACTTTGTTATATGAAAGTGAGTGTTAGTTATTTCATGTGCAATGGGAATAAGATAATAGATGAGTGTGTGCATGGTAAAATACAAAGAAATAGGGTTAAAATGGAACAAATAAGAAATGAATGTAGATTGAATACAAAAGTGACCAGTACAAAAGCAGTGCATTGAAGTGGTTGATCATTTAGAGAGAAAAATGAGAACTGAATCACAAAACAAATGTGGATTGAGAGGAAGAGGAAGACTGAGCAAGTCTTGGTGAGATGGGGGTTTATGAACTCCTGAAAACAATAAAGAACAAAAGGCAAGGTATGAGGTGATGGATGGAGGTGGTGGAGGCAAGAGAGGTTTGCAAGCATAGAAAAAGATGGTCAATTTTACTAATTGATGTTGCAGCAAACTCATTTTAACTGTATCTCCTGTTTGTTGTTTGTTTTGTTTTGTTTTGTTTGCTTATATCTTTGATTTTGTCAGGTTCCTATGGGCTTTTTGGTTTTATTTCTTCACTTTGAATAAAATTGCTCATGCCAGTGTGTGAAAGGAATACACAAAGACATGTCCACATGTACACACCCACTGTACACACTGACTGTTTCCTAGTATGACTTGATTCCTTATTTGTACCCCATGACTATCATATTTGGTTTTCCCAAATTTTGTTCTATTGTACTTTACTAATTTATCTGATTCTTTTTGTTAGTTCTTATTGTTTTTATTTTTATTTTTTGTTTTAAATATGATTTTCCATTGTGTAAGCCGCCTCGAGTTTCCATGAGCAAATAGGCAGCAATATAAATCAAATAAATAAGTAAAAGTGTTGTACCTTATGATTCTTGATGAATGTATCTTTTCTTTTTATATGCACTGAGAGCATATGCACCAAGACAAATTCCTTGTGTGTCTAATCACACTTGGCCAATAAAGAATTTATTCATTCATTCAGTATTCATTCATCCATTCATTCATTCATTCACACATGCGTGAATTGAAAAATCAATAGATTGAAAAGTACAATGAAGGAAGCCTCTGTTAGGTAGGGCTGCCATTATATCATATCAAAACAGGTAACTGAAAAGTTTATGTAGATAATGATAGAGGAGAAACTAAATGCAGGGTGGAAGGCAGCCATGCTAATCAATAATGAACAAGTCTGAATCATATGAATGTGTTATCCTACTGTATAAACAGACCTAAAGAAAGGAACTTAGATTTCTTACTGAAATAGACGGTGAGAGAATGGCAGGTTTGTTGTTTTCCAGTAATTGGGCAGGAAATGTAAGGGAAGCAGAGGTCTCCTGGGCGAAGGATTGTGCACATTCGGCATTGCAGATTGGCTGTTTGGAAATTGAAGAAGACATTAATTATTTGGGTTTCAGTTTTCTATGGCCTTTGCACAACACACTTAAACCAGAATGGAAGGATCTTTGTATGAAGAGGTCCATAAGCTGAATGGTTATTGTTTTTGTTACTACTTTTATTCGTTAGATTCACTGCATGTCCTTGACTTCAAAATGACTTACTAAAAAATGCTTTGACCTTGGAAATAGAGCTAATGTTCTTCTATATCAGTGGTTTTCAGTATCAGCAACTTTAAGATGTGTGTCAACTCATAAAACATTTTTGGGAGTGTGGCTCGAGGTTCATGATTTAATTGAAGTAACTGCCAGAACCCTGACAATGTGTGGATTTCAACTCCCAGAATTCCCCAGTCAGCATGCTGCTGGGAGATGCCACTGAGAGTATCAGAATGTAAAGATGGGTCTCAACCTTGGCAGCTTGAAGATATGTCAACTTCAACGTTCAACATTCCTCAGCCACCATGCTGGTTGGGAATTCTGGGGGTTGAAGTCCACACATCTTAGAGATGTTGAGGTTGAGAACCACTATTCTAAATCGTCATATCTTCAGAGCAAAGGCGTTACCTAAAACATAAGCATACAAACCAGTGGGGAAGAAGAAACATCATCTGGAGCTGTATTCTGGTATGGGACTACAAATCCACTTCACAAGCAGAAAAATAGTATAATGGAACTCCAAAGGAAAATGCTGATCCCTTCCCCAATCCCCCATCATAAACTAGTTCTTCTGTGCAAATCAACATCTCAAAAGTTCCCCTGCCTAAATCACAGGAATTTATGCCAGGTTAGTCCCTCCTCCAGCTCAGTATGCAAAAATTGAGATCCAGAAAATTATATTTTGTGAGCTGCAAAGGACTTCCCAAAAGGGCTTCTCTAGCCTAGGGAACATTACAGGAAGTCCTCGATTTGTGACCACAATTGGATCCAAAATGTCTGTTGATAAGAAAGACATTTGTTAAGTGAATTTTGCCCCGTTTTATGGCCTTTCTTGCCATAGTTGTTAAGTGAATCACTCACTGCAGTTGTTAAGTTAGTAAAACAGTTGTTAAGTGAATTTGGCTTCTCCATTAACTTTGTTTGTGAGAAGGTCACAAAAGGTGATCATATGACTTTGGGATACTGTAACCGTCATAAATATGAGTTAGTCGCCAAAGTGTCTGAGTTTTGATCACGTGACCATGGGGATGCTGCAATGGTCATGCATGTGAAAAATAGTCATGTCACTTTTTTTCAATGCTTGTTATAACTTTAAAAGGTCATTAAATGAACTGTTGTAAGTCAAGGACTACCTGTAATATGATTTTTAAGAGAAATCAGCAATCATTTGCCTTCTGTTTGGATCATCTGAAAGCCTCCTCCAAAGGAGTTCTCCCATTTTTGGAATGCAACCCTTAATACATAAGATGAAATGGGGTGTGGCCCTCAAACCAGCAGAAGCTATACATTACTGCAGGAGCAAATTGTAGCTCCTTGTAGTCATATAGATCACTTAGCATTAAATAGAAAACGTTGAGTAAGAAAACTTACTTGCAGTCTGATGGTTGGCTGCAGGGGTCTGTGGTGCTCCAAGTCCTGTTTAAATAAAGTTATGTGAAACTTGTTTACAAAGGATTGTAATTCGAACCAATTTTTAATTCTAGGTATTATTCAGAGAGCATAAATAACTTAGTTAAGCAGGTGGAAGATATTTATGGCAAGGGTTCCCTACTAATCCATTTAATATGATTCTAATTAATACTAGCTAATTTCTATTTAAAGGAAAACAAGGATATTATTTGTTACAGTTAGAACAATAAAGAAACCACCATTTCACATTAATTGGATATGAAACTAAAAATAATTCAAGATTGAACTCTTCAGATATCTATGGAGATTCTCAGTTATTCAGTTGTCCCAAAGGTGCTTTTTTCCCCCAAGAGGCAACTGGACTTTCTGGGTTGTTGTTTTTTGAAGACTTTTGCTTCTCATTCAAGAAGTTTCTTCAATTCTGACTGGATGATTCTTGGGGGGAAAAAGCACCTTTGGGACTACTCTTCAGATATTTGCCTTGGACTTGTAAACAAAGTTATCTAAACTGGGAAATATACATTTGGACATATTTTGAAGGCACATTTTCTATTACTAATTAATACATTAAGGGGTTATAAGAAACTAACAGCTTAACAGTTCAGTCCTCTGATATACAATAGATTGATCTTTTCTTATAAAATATTCCTGAAGTATTGTTAATAATTATCTATCCCAGGTCTTTGGGAAAGGCTCAATAGGTTGGTAAATACAGTATATCAAATCCATTCTAAACATCTGGCTGACTATGTAATGAACCATGAAATATGTATGCTACCCAACTCTAACTATTCTGTCAGCTCACAACAATCAAAGAAATTACAATAAAAGTATATGCAATATGCTATATAAAGTATGATAAAATATATAGTATTTAGCAGGGAATATTGGTCAAATGAATACACTTCCATAGACTGCAGTGACCAGAATGCATCAGGGTACACTTGGCTGATGATGCTATAGTAGTTGGAAGGGCAACACATATTTCTCATGTTTCTTTTTCATGCTTAAATATTGAACTAATAGGAAGTCCTTTGTCTTTTTTGAAGGAAGGTTATCTTTGAATATCTCAAGCTATTGTCAAACAACATTCATAAATCATACAATTGAACAGCTCCATTTAGATCATTGAACTCGACCAATGTTCGAGGCAGAAATCCAGGTTAAAGCATCCAGGCACATGTCTACCCTGTGCTTGGAGATATCTGGAATGAATCTGGACTCATCAGACTCAGAAGCTGCTGCCAGCCTCAGCAGTAAGCAGAATTCAGAGGTTCTCAGCACAAAATTAACTGAAGCAGCTGCAAGAGGGATCAAGTGATGAAGGGACAGACCCTGGCAGAGCTCCTAGTCCCAAAATGAATCATCAGCTTCAGAGATATATATGGTCTGCTCAAGATACCAAAGTGCCAAAGCCTATAACTGAGCCACACCTGCATCTAGCCAATTTTAAAGCAGTGGCCATCAGCCAGTCCATCTTTTGCATCTTCATCTCTGAGTCCTTGCTTCTTACTATGCTCCATGATCTTGGCTCTTTGATCCAGAGTAGCTGACTAACCTGTTTGATCTATGACTCTTGGACTGTATTGAGATCATATTTGCTATTCTGAACCTGTGCTCTGTTTAACTCAGACCAAACTCTTAAGCTATTTGGCTCTCAGATTAGAACTTGCATTCCTGTATTTGTCCAGGGCATGAATGCACCTGCACAGATGAGTCTCTGTCCCTTTGCTTTGGATTGCATTGCTACTTACCACTAAACCAATTCCAATTCAAACCAGCATGAATATGTTGAGTCTGAAGCAGAACAATATCCAGGAAGTGAAGTCTGCCATCTTAATGCCATCTTAACCGCACCAAACTTGATTGCAGGAAATACGACTTCAGCAATAGAGTGGTCAGTGTCTGGAATACTCTACCTGACTCTGTGGTTTCTTCCCCAAACCCCAAAAACTTTAACCTTAGACTGTCTACTATTGACCTCACCCCTTTCCTAAGAGGTCTGTAGGGGGTGTGCATAAGTGCACCAACGTGCCTACTGTCCCTGTCCTATTGTTTCTTTTATTTTTCTTATATGTACCCATTTCATGCATTCATAACTATGTATATACTTATACCTGTTATCTTGTAAGCGATTGACAAATCAAAATAAATAAATAAATAAATGGTTCTGCTGATCAGATGGTCTTATTGCTAGGATTGTTCTGCACTTGACATTTTTGTTTAGATTCCTTTCTCCTAAACTTTTTGGGGGAGGAAAAAAAAAGCTTACCTCCAGGTATGAAGTAGAAGAAGACACAGGTTGCAAAGAGTAAGATCTGATACATGGAGGGCATCCTGAAACTGGAAGATCTCAATACTTTACCCAGAATGCTAAGTCAGAAAGAAAGAAATTCTGATTGTTATTTACTTTTTAAATGACTAAGTAGTGGACAAGCGGCTTGTTTTTATCCCTTTGATGACGTGCACACATTGCCACCAACCAGAACATCCCGTCCTTGGGGCATTCCATACTTCTGCTATATCTTAATCATTATCCTGTGGGTGAGAAGGTCATAGAGGCAGTTGTGCCCTGAGATCATATTTGATATTCAAACCCACAGACAGGACCACAACTACAATTAAAACAAAAACATGGAATGGTAGGAGAACTGATTAAAAGGGATGCAGGAAATTAGCTGCAGGAATAATAATTCTCGGTTTTACCTAATATAATCCCATATTTCAAATGAAAGACTTTCTGCATTTGGACATCCTTTAAATTTAATCTGGAGGCTTCAGCATATGAAGCAGGTCTTCTCTCACCAAATACATATTCTGTAATTTGGGTAAACTCAAATTAGATTTCATTAATACATTGGGCAGTGACCTGAAAGCAAGTCAGAGCCTGTTCATTCATTAACTAATTAATTAGTATCATATCATGATCTTCTTTGATTTATACTTTTATCCATCTGGTTCATGTTTCTAATTGCATTTCTCTGGGTTCAAATACTTATTTCTGTTTTTATTTGTAAAAGTGAAATACTTTACAAAACTCAAAGACACATATATGTAGCAAAACAATAATGTGACCATTAAATATATTAATATACGAGGATTACATATTCATTATCCACTCTATCTCTAAATATATGCCATATTTACTTGTAGGCTTTTTATTATGTTCTATAATAATATAATAAGCAGGGTAGGTACCTATTGAGTGAGACAGAAATCAAACTTATTTAGAAATCTCATATCAACATTTTTTTCATTCTCAACAAAATGTTGGGGACTGTATAACAGCATTTGGGTTCCTAGAGATTCCGGAAAATATTATTTTTAGCATTTATATAATGATTGTGTGGTGAACAGAGCAACCATATGTTTATTCTTTTAAAAAAGACGAGTATGATTTAGAACACTTTTCTATATCCAAGCACAGGAAGAACATACAGTATTATTTTTATTGCTTAAAAAGAAAACATCCTTCCTCATAGAAATGGGAAAGATAACATTAGGCCATGATAACACTGGGAGAAATGTTAAAAAGACAGAGAGTCTTCAATCCCAAAGAATCACATCCTCAACTAATCTACTTCTTGACATGACCCTGTTTAGGGATCATGGAATCTCACTCATATAAACCAGCTTGTTTAGGAGGCCAATGAGGAAAGAGAGTGACTCTGGAGTTGAGTTATCTTCTGGAATCAGACATTAAAGCCATATGGACCCTGATAAATTTTTCTGGTGTGCCAGGTTGTATCCTAAACATTTGCATTATAGATATAGATAAGCATCACTTGAAGTTAATGCTTCAACCATCCTTAACATACATTAACCTTGTATGTTAATGCTTCAACCATCCTTCAACCATCTTAGGACTTCATCTATTTGGTTACCTATTGGAATACTTTGAGCTTCAGGAAATAAGATGGATAGTAGGTGGAAATAACAGGTGGACTTAAACGGAAGTTATGCTTGAATAATCAAACAACTCATTGTTCTTAATGCATTGATATTGCTGATGCTAACCACTTATCTTCATAAATCTGGACTGTTATTTTCACCTTTCCAACTATCACTTGCCCACATCCAGAACTAGGTAGGCAAAGGGAGGCAGGTGGGAAATGCAGCTGTGGTTAGGAGATTAAGGACTGACATTATGTGGAGAGAACTATGGGTTCCAGTTCTAATGGGAAAGAAATGTCTGTCTTGCTCTGTAACACACCATAAAATTCAACCCACATTTCCTGACAAGATGGTAGAAGAAAGTAGTAGATAATTTAATGGAGCAGAAAACAAGAGCAATGTTTTGTGATGATTTATTTGATTTGTGACATGTCATCAGAATGTGCAAGAGGTATTCTGAAGTAATAACATGGACTAAAGGATTTCAAATTCCATTTTTGAATGCTCTCCATGTAAAAATTCTGTGTGTGCAAAAGGGAGAGATTTTACTTTAGCAGCATATCTTTTCTGTGTTGTACTTATAATGTTGGTGAGCTCAGATCAATGACCCCAAATCATTCCAAGTTTAGGCTATCATTCAAGGAGGTCAAATATGGGAGTTCTCTGTGGAACTTTAATTGAGGAGAGGGAAAAGGAAGAAGAAAAAGAAAAGAGTGGAAGAATTAAATGGAGATGGCTAACCAATAGGTGGCTGCTACAGGTAGTTCATGATTTACAACCATTCATTTAGTGACCATTTGAAGTTACAACAGCAATGAAAAATGACCTAGAACTGTTTTTCACACCTACGGCATCATCTATGGTCATGTGATCAATTGCAGCATCTCTATGGTCATGTGGTCAAAATTCAGATACTTGGTATTTATGACGATTGCAGTGTCGGGGAGTGATGTGATCACCTTTTGCAACCTTCTGACAAGCAAAGTCTATGGGGAAGCCATAGCATGTTTCTAATTTAACAACTCCAGTGACTCACTTAACAACTGTGGCAAGAAAACTTCCTCACAAAAATTTCACTAAATTACACTAAATATTTTATCCCATTTTTTATTACGTTGTTTCCAATTTTCTAACATTATTTCTAAATACAAATATAAGAATACAATCTACTGTACCTTTACAGAATCCCTTTTTCAATTAAATTTACCCATTGTCTCTAAAAGAATTTTGTTTCTTTACATCTTGCTCCCCACCATTGAGGCTTCTCATCCCTTCCATTCTCCCTTGCTTATTCTTCTCCTTGCCCTTTTTACCCCCTTGTCTCTCCACCTCCCTTTTCTTCTTCTGCTTTCCCCCTTTCTGTTGTTTTCTAACATTGTATCCACTTTTCACCTTATTTTTCTCTTTTTGGGTTGTTTTTTCAAGTCTTAAAGTCCCCTTTTTCTTTTCCTCTTTCTCCTTTCCTTCCCCAAATAGAGTCACTTGTTCATCAAAGATGGCTTCTTCTTTATCCCAATCATCCTGTTGCGCAGTCAGTTTTTCATAAGTACAAACCGCCATTTCTAAAAATTGAAAAAGAGTGCCAAGAGAATCTTTCCCTTCTTGTTCTTCTTTTTTGTATTTTTGGTATTCAATTTTCAATTCATCCAGAAGTAAATTGAAAGTGGTAATAAGATATGGAATGGTATATAAAATGAATATGAATTTGAATTTGTGTCTGTACGAAGAGTTGTAACCCGGGATCAAGCAGCTTTCAGAAAAGATGTTCTATGTTTTTATGTTAAAAAAAAAAACTGTGGCAAGAAAACTTGTAAAATGGGGCAAAACTCATTTAACAAATGTCTTGCTTAGCCATGGAAATTTTGGGCTCAGTTGTGGTCATAAATTGAGGACTACCTATACTGCTGCTAACTGTTTTCTGACTGTTGTTGATAGCCTATTCTACAACTCATTGTGGCTGATTGTCCTTTGTGTGTGATTGCAGCAGTCTTTGCTAGCAGTCACCTCACTGAATGACTGAACAGGGAATGTAAACACTGGTTTGACAGAAGGAGCTTGTCAGAAATCCACAGCAACTGTCCAAGCAATATAGACAGCAAAAGAAACTTTGTGTGTGTGTGTAATGTCGCCTTCTTGTCTGAAGAGAGCAGGCATCAGAATTTCATTTTTTAATGTGTGCCAGTGTGTTCACAGAAAAAAAGTGACAATAAAGGTTATCTTATCTATTGAGAAAGAAGTTAAAGGAAATAGAATAAAGAATTTTACATGGAAGATGAGAAGTTTGTGAGCAAGAAAAGTGCAGAAAAGGGAAATGAGAAATCAATATCAGATGTTTACTCTAGATATATATAGAGAGAAGAGATATAGTATGAGAACAAGAAACAAAGAAGAAAGAGCAAGAGCAATAACCAGGGGACTGGCTTATCTTCATAAGTTGTGGGTGTTCCATCATTGGAGGTTTTTAAGAAGAAACAGACAGCTACTTGTCTGGAACGATACAGGGTCTTCTGTTTGAGCAGGGGGTTGGATTAGAAGATATCCAAGGTTCCTTCCAACTCTGTTGTTCTGTTATTAACAGGATTCCAGGAATAAACAAATTAGCTAAGAGAAGATGCCACTGAGAAGGTTTAGATAATTTGACCATGGACTTTTACATCAAAGATTCTTAGGCAAACATGGGTAACATCTTACACACACTAGGAAGGACATGTTTGCAAAATAAAATCAGAACAACGGGAAAATATAGAAAAGCCTAGGAGTAAAATGCTACCAAAGACATAGGATACAATAGGAAAAGCAGCAAGATAAAGCAGGACTAAAAAATTAATAGGAAATGAATGAAGTAAAGTCAATATAGGCAGTAGTGGTATTTTACCGGTTCGGCCTGGTTCTGCCGAGCTGGTAGCGCCAATGAGCAGCGGAGGCTGAACCGGTTGTCTCTGCCACTCTGCTGTTGGGCCCACCTGCCCGCCCGAGCTCGCATACTCACCTTTATTCCCTGCTTTTGAAGCGCAGCTGCTTTGCACGGCACAACAGAGTGCTGTGCGACAACTGCTGAAGCGACAGGGAGAGTGCAGGCTTGCAGGAGGTGAATTGGAATGCCTCTGTGCCCGTGCAAACGCCTCTATGCCTGTGCAAAGTGTGTATTTGGCACACACGCAAAGTATTGCATGTGTACAAAGCATGCTGACCAAGCCACACCCATTGAACCAGTGGTAAAAATCTTTGAATCCCACCACTGAAGATAGGACACAATTTCATATGTTTCTACATCAGTACATAAAGTGTAGGAAACAAGTAGGAAGATCTTGAAATTCTAACACAGGAAGAAAAAAATGATGTCATAAGCATTGGTGACACCTGGCAGGATAATACACATGTCAAGAATGGAGCCCTAGAAAATTACAATGTATTTAAAAGAATGAATACAACAATTAATAAAAGCATGGGAAGTAAATATCCTGTTG